CATTGCTGCAAATTAGTTCCACTTAGTGGGCTAAAATAATAAAAATGACCATTAAGTTTTCATTGGAATAGGGTTTAGTTTTTTTGCATTCTCAGGGCCTAACCAACCTATGCCTCTGATCTGTAGCATATGTCTACATCTAATTAGATCAGTTGATAATGATTGGCAAGAATGTATGCCTGGCTGTACATTTTAATCCAGTGGCAGGACCCTTGGACTGGAAGATATGTCTGTCTTGCACATTAAATATCATATTGTCATTGAATTTTTTTTTTCATTTTTTGCATGAAGATCGAGAAGGTGTATATTGAAGCTCCTAATGGCGTTCGCTTATCCCAGTGGATCAATGTAACAACGCAGGATGGATTGGTTGAGCTGGAGTTCCAATTGACTTCAGAACCACAGCTAGGAACATGGACAATCTTCACCCTTATTAATGGCTTGAAGACCACTCAGGAATTTGATGTAGATGAATATGGTATTTTAAACTTTTATTCTTTTTTAGTTACTAATAAATGACTACAAAAAATTTATATAATTTTATAGTTTTGTCTAAGGTGCTGAAAATATGAGGAAAACAATTTCATTTTTTTTTATAGAAGATGTTCTAAAAGTTAAGTAAATGTTGCATATTTGATCAGTTTAAAAAGTTCGAAATATTTACAGCTGAATATATAAAACAGTAAAGGGAAACATTGTTCATCAATTTGTTTAAGTTCTTCCTAATTTGTTTTTATTGATGTTATCTTAGTAAAAGAATACAGCACATTTGATCAAAGATTGAAATATATAAAGTTGAATACTGTAACAATAAGTTAAAGCATTTTTTTTTTTACTTTTCAGTTCTTCCTAAATTTGAAGTGAATATTAAATCACCGTCTTACATCCTGATCAATGCAACTGAGTTCAAAATTCAAGTCTGTGGACGGTTAGTGTATTTATTATTCATAAAAAAAACCCATTGAAATATTGAGATGTTCTCAACAATGCAGTAGTTTTTTTAGAACTATCTACTATGTATCACAAACCTATTTTTCTCAATATAATACCTTCAAACAATATCTAGGCTCATTTTATTACTGAGGCAAAAATGCAGATTCTCCCATTTAAATTCTACTAATGCACGAAGTCATGAGTGGGTGTGTGGCGGGAGTACGTATTGGCTCTCAATCGCAGGGTCGTATGTGTTGAAGCCAAAGATGAGCATAATAATTGTGTCCTTGGACAAGACATTAGTGCACATCTAAAGTTCTCTCTTCAATAAAGCCCAGTCCAGACTATCAAATTTTATTTGACAAAAACATGTGACATACCTAAATATGGTCATGATGACATCATGACCATATATAGGCACATCATGACTTTGTATGGGCATACAACAGTATTTTGTCAAAGAAAATTTGAGAATCTGTACAGAGTTTAAGAGGTTATTTGGTAGGAAGTGTAGGAAGTAATTACACATTATGCATGATTGTTTAACAATAGCAATACTTGAACTAATTTTCAGAGAATAACAC